TTTAATAACTGCATAACAGAAAGTCTTTGTTTGTTTGTTTCTTTGTTTTTCCCAGATGAATTCACTAATAATTGTTTAGGCTTGGAGAGTCTTTTTTCATGGTATTGCTAGTCCCTCCAAAACACTTTATAATTACTCAGATTGACTTGAGTGTTTGATGAGGGCTGATCAAGCTATGTCCCCTGTGATTTTTTCACAATGCTGGTCTGTGGGTCTGTGGCAGAGCTGAGATTTGAACCTGTGCATGTCTTTCCAATACCAGAACCCATGCTCTTAGTCCATCAGAACCTTTACTCTGTCAAGGGCCATTTGGATATTTATAACATCATTCTCAGACCATTCAAAATGATCAACTTTAAACATTAGCCTGCTATATTTGGCCTGGTATGGATTTCGTGGGCCTTATGCAGCCATTGGACCTGACGTTCCCCACCCCTGGGTGGTTTTCCATTAATAAAACACTAAACATAATTAGGTAGAAGACAGTCTGGTAGTTCCTCAAAAATTAAAGAATTACCATAGGATCCAGAAATTCCACTTCTAAGTACATATAACTAAAATAATTGAGAACAGAGACTTAAACAAGTATTTGTTCACCAATGTTCATAGCAGTCAAATTCACAATAGTCAAAAATAGAAACCATCAAATGTCCATCAATGGATGAAAGAATAAACAAAATGTTGCATATGCATACAATAAAATATTAGTCAGCCTTAAAAAGGGATTAAGTTCTAGCCCAACAGGTATAGCTCAGTGGTTGAGTGTTGATCCATACACCAAGAGGTCACTGATTTGATTCCCATTCAGGGCACATGTCCAAATTGTGGGCTCAATCCCCAGTAGGGGGTGTGCAAGAGGCAGCCAACTGATGTTCCTCTCTCATGGATGTTTCTCCCTCTTCCTCCCTTTCTCTCTAAAATTCAATAAAAACCTTTTTTTTTTTTTTTAAAAAAAAAAGGAATTAAATTCTGATACATGCTACAACATGAATGAGCCTTGAAAACATTGGACTGAGTGAAATAAGGCAGACAAATACTATGAGAGACCTAGACTAGTCAAATTCATAGAGACAAAATAGAATGGTGGTTGCCAGAGCCTGGGGGAAAGATGGAATGGGGTGTCACTATTTAATGGGGACACAGTTTTAGTTTGGGAAGATGAAAAAGTTCTAGATGGTGGTGATGGTTGCTCCCAATGGGAATGTACTCAATGCCACTGAACTACACACTTTGAAACAGTTAAAACGGTACAATGTGTTATACATATTTTACCACATTAAAAAAAAAGTAATTAGGACTTAGGTTTGAACTAAAACATAAAAGCTAGAGCCGGAGAACAAAACAATAGTATAATTTGATATCCTTTTTGTTAAAGTTGCCTTAACATGAATCAAATCAGCAAAACTTATTGTGCCCAACAGTACTGTGAAGCTTACTTACACTTTGCTTAAACTTAACAGAGATCAACATAAGAACCGAAGAGAAAAATTCTTTTATGTTAGTATCAGATGGGACAACACGGAATACAACATGTCAGGATGACTTCTAGCATGAATAGCTTATCTCAAGGGACATCCAATCACATCTTATCTTATTCCTTAATTAGCTTCAAAGTGAACCAGAACACTTTCCAGGAGAAAGAAATCTGGAAATATTTATTACTTGGGAAAATCAGTTTGAAGTGTCTTCATACCAGTGTTGGAAGTAGTAAACACTTTAAAGGAAATATTAAGTACTTTTTCATCACATATTGGGATTCTCTTCAGCAGGATTTTTAAAATAATTAAATTGGCTCATTTTGGTGCCCTAGATGCAGGCCCGATTTGATTATTTATATTAAAATACAAAATCGAAATGATATAAGCATTAATGTTAATTGATTAGTCAGTGTTTTTTTTTTTTTTTCTTTGTTGTTTATGTTTTGTGGTTGGAAGCCTCATAACAATCAAATAAAATTTTACCGTGTGCTCAATCCAGAGCTCTCAAAGGAGCCAAATCAACTTTATAAGATGTATTGATTTAAAAAATGACAGTTTTATAATATGCAAACTCATGCTCATCAGAATGTTCTGATACGGGCAACTATTCATTCCCAGTTTTGTCATTGCTTGGACTTTGGACTTGCTTTTTATCCTGTGCTTGAACTGTCCTTCTCATGTCATTGCATGAGTGGCTTCTTCTCATTGTTCAGGCTCCAACTCAAATGTCACCTTCTCGGAGAGGCCGAACCCCGCCATACCCTGTCTAGTAGGGTCTCCACATCACCCTGTCACGCTTCCTGAGATCACTCAGAGTTACTTGCGGAGGCACCTGAGCATTGTCTGCAGTTCTCTGGATTGGTTTCCTGGTCTGGTTTGCCTCCCAGCACGAGAACGGGAACTCCACAAGGGAGGGCGCGGGCCATCTGGTTTTCTCTTCTATTCCTCAGGCCCAGCCGAGTGACAGGCTCATAGGAGGTGGAGCTGCCCTCCTGTTTATGCCTTTCGACTATGATATAAATGGACCCAGAGCCTCGCCCTCTGGGAAGCACAGACACACTGCTCTGCTCAGCTCTTCTCTTTATGGGGGCTGCAGTGGGATCATCTCATTTGGTTGGGGTGGGGGGTTGGACCACAAAAATGTAACAACCTAGAGGGTGTTGAGGAAGAGCTGCCGGCTCCTTAAACCTCACTCTACCCAATTTGGTTCTTTCGGAGTTTCTAGAAGGTACTTATGAAGTGGTACCTTATTTCCCATTGGCCATACTTCCTCGGCTCGATAACTTTCTTGGCACCCCCTAAGAAGGGCTGGCTGATTTCGGGAGGATGTAGACGTTTCTGTGTTTTCTCTTTCTAATGCTATCCTAATACCTAAGATGGTACATATCCTCAGCAAGTTGCAAACACGAAGCTGGCTTCTCTTTCCTTCTCTGTCCTTTGAGGACCAGCCACATGCATAACATAGCTCTGAATCCATAGGGAGCACAGTGAACCAAACAAAGTCGAAGCCAACTTGTCTTCCCATTTTAGAGATGGAAGAATCAAGTAACATCACTGCTCTCTAGATCCTTGCCTTTCCTACTTGATAAAGCAAAGTAAGGCCATAGAAATGAGTGGGAAAAAGTTTTCTTTCTGAAGACCATTTTCGAACTATATACTTTCAGGCCTCTTATGCATTATTTTGTATAGGTAGTAATGATGTGCTTCTCAATGAATAGTGAGTAGGTGGGAAAAAGGCATACTGATTGGTTAGATATTTTGTTTTTAAAAGGATCGACCAAAGTCTCAAGAACTAAGACTATAGCAGGCTTCTAGTTGGTCCCACAACCATGGCAAACAGCTAATTATTCTTTAGTAACAAAACATAACTCCTTATTTTCAAAGGTTCATGGCCATACCAGATAACACTAATGACCCCAGGTCCCTGTAACTGGGTATATGCATGTGAATGAAAGTGATCCACTACAACCAGATCATGTGCTTAAAAGGAGTGGGCACAGTCCTGGCCCATGGGGTTCAGTTGGTTGGAGAGAGTCCCATACACTGAGAGAGGGGTTTGATTCCCAGTCAGGGCAAATATTTGATCCCAGGTTGGGGTGCGGACGGGAGCCAACCAATGGATGTTTCTCTCTCACATCGATATTTCTCCCTCTTTCCCTCTCCCTTCTTCTGTTTCTAAAATCAATGAAAAGAAACCATATCCTTGAGTGAGGACTAAAAAAAAACTATTAAACAACAATAGCAACAACAAAGGTAGTGGGCACAGCCTCCCCTCCCCCTTCCCACAGGCTGCAGTTTGGAAGTGTGGTGAGCCAGCCTGAGGCACGACGGGAGAGTAACACTCTAGGGATGGAAAGCAAAGGAGAGAAACCAGCTTGTCAGAGCCGGAGTTCCGAGCCTTGTGGAGTCACATAAAGCTATTGCTTATGCCCAGACTGTTCCATGAGAAAGAAAAGCATGTCCTTCTTGTCTAAGCCCTTGGAATTTAGTTTCTCTTCCAGCAATCAAATTTCCATTCCAACACAATCAACTTTCCTCGATGATTTTGATGCTACTTCATCATTTTTGCAAAGTGGCTTTCGAATATCAAAATGATCAGCTTTTTGAGTTAAAAAGATCTTTAGGGTTAGCCTATCCTTCACTTTATTGCTGAGGAAATTGAAGACAGAGGGAGTAATAAACGTCTCGAGCCACACAGGTAGCTGGTAATAGCTGGTGCTCAGATCTCCTGAATTTCAGTTCGTTGTTCTTTTCCTTTAAGGTCCAGTTAGCAGGACTTCCTGGAAATGACTCTGGGGGCTCCCTTTGGGAGGCCAGGACAACTTACTAGCTGGGGCCTTTCCTCCCCCCCCCTCCCAACAACCTATAATCAGCTGCTACCCTGCATATCCTGAGGAGGCTGCTCTGATTGCCACTGTGAGGAGGAAGAGTGACCAGGGGTGGCCCATGCCTGGTTTTGGCTCTCCTCGCTGTGGGATGACGGCAGGATCAGGGCCCCTGCCTCTACTTCTTTTCTGGCTGAGCCTGGCCTTGAGAGTCTTCCACTGACTCTTTCTCCTGCGACCCAGCATTGTGGAATTTGTGTAGGACCCTGGATCTTGGCAGTTAGAGGCTCAGCAAGCTCCTACTTAACGACTTCATTCTATGATACGATGATTGTCCATTATCATTCCCATGTAATTTGATAATAGAAGACATTTTCTATAATAACTAGCACTAGGTAGAGGTAACTTCAACTGTCAAAGGAACAGCACAGAGAACAAACAAATCATTTCATTTCAAGGTCTTCTATTGACCGGGTGTCCAACAAACAGCTCCCTTTGGACAAAGGGCATTGCTACCGTCGTGATTAAGACAGCCGCCAGAAGTCCCATGGAAAGTGGAAGGTGAAACCTAGTTATTAGCATCTAGGTCCCTGGGCTTACCCTTGCAGTACATTACAATATACTTAAGAGACAAAGAGCTTATCTTTGAATTGTGCAAAATTCTATAATTTATGCACCACTAGTATACATCTCTTACCATCCTCGTTTTCATCAAAAACCGGGGGTTTGCTTGAAGTATTGGCTCCCATGGTTGTCTGCCCAGACCCGGAACCTGCAGTTACATCATCCCGGCGGAAACATTCATCTTCCTTCAGAAGAGGTCTGGAAGCTGTAGCTACATATCAAGGGGAGAAAAAGAAATGATAGTCTTATAATACCTCACAATGGCATACTTCGGGTACCCTGAGTACAGGCTGTGGCCGAAATGTTCATTTGTACTACTCCGGTTGAATGCTTTGTACTTGAAAATAATTTCAGCAATAACAGAGAACATTAAGTATCTGGGGGAACCTACTTCATGGCCTCATGAGTCTTGGACCTAGACTTACAAAGAAGGAAAAAAGCAACATATTTTCAAAGGAAGAGGACAAGTTTAAAATGAGGTCAGCAATACTTGAACAAGTATAAAATGAAAATAATATTTCATTGTGACTCCATATTTTTGAAAAAATATGTGGATTGTGAACTTTATTTTGTTGGTGTGTGATCAACAATTTTAATATTTTTTAATTATTCTGAATGCGTTCCCCAATTCTTTTCTCCTACCCTGGAAGGTACTAGAGTATAAAAGGAGCAAGGTCTGAGTTGGGGCTTTACCACCCCAGCAAGTTGCCAAATTTTGCTAAACAAGTTTCTTTTTTCCTTCCCCTTGGACTTGATCATGGTCCTAACAGCAAAGGCAGGTTAAATATTACTTGATGAGATAATATGTGAAGTATTTTCACTGCATAAGTGCTCACTAACTGTTAGCTACTCTTAAGCTCAAATTAAATAATATATGGGAGAGCCAAAAAGCCCTGGGGGGAAAATATGCATTTATGACTTCTTAAAAAATTTTAAACCAAATCTTAAAGAATTTTACTTTGCCTGAAATTGGTAAGGAGAGGCAGCACCCAGAGTTCTGGTTCTGAAACTGACGCTGATAATGGCTTTGGGCCAGTGACCTCTCACCTCACCTGTAAAATGGGGGAAGGGCAGCGTCTTCTTCAGGAATCACCAGCTCAGATGCCCACAAGGGCCAGGCAGAAATGCGAATGAGTGAACCAGCCCCGGTAGAAGACATTGGTCCCTAGTGGGGACAGTGACGGCCTGGAGAACCCAGGCTCCATCTAAAAGAGGTCACTGCTCTCAAAAAAGAGGTTGCCGCCCCGTGGAAACATGGGCCCAGGAGCCCGATCTTCAGATATACCAAAAAAAAATGGGTAAAGACTGAAATTGTATACAGACTATTTAAAAATCGATTTTTAGCTCTGTGGCCTGAGCTACTCCCATGCATGGGACAAATAGGGCTCATGGATAAAGTTAATGAGACAATGTATGGAAGGCAGCAGCAAATTCCTAGCACATAACATGCAAAGGATAAATGTTGGCTACTATAATTTTTTTTTTTTTAATCCTTACCCAAGGAATTCTTCCATTTATCTTCAGATAGAGTGGGAGGGAGAGAGAAAGAGAGGGATGTGAGAGAGACACATCCACTGGTTCCCTCCCGCATGACCCCAACCTTGGTTGTGGCTGGGACTGAACCTCAACCAAGGCACGTGCCCTTGACCAGAATCGAACCCGAGACTCTTTGGCCCGTGGGCCGATGCTCTAACCACTGAGCAACTGGCCAGGACAGCTGCTGCTATTTTTAATAGTAGCTGTATTTTCTTATCATGTATTATTTTTTCAATTGATTTTTTAGAGAGAGAGAGAAAGAGGGAAACATTGATGTGTTGTTCTACTTATTTACACATTCATTTAATTTGACATCTGTTGACTGATTTCCTCTTAGGCTTTTTTCACGTGAAGGAAATACAGATTAGAGGCATCATTGCAGAAAAGTGTCCCAGGAAACCGGGCCTTAGGACGTTATTGAAAACGAGCTTGAGAAGCCCCTAAACCCGCCTAGAAAAACAATTCATTTTCCTTTTAGGAAAATGTAAGTAAAGCCTTCATTGGAAGGCAGACTCAATAAGGAGATGCTACTTTTCATACTGAAAGCTAGCTGCTGGCAAAGTGCCTTATGAACTTTATAAAGAATCAGTAAATTCAGAGCAAAGAAAAAGACGTCTCAGCAATTAGGAAGCAACCAATTAAATGGTATGGGAGACCGGTGGGGAGGGGCAGGTGGTAACAGGTGGCTGGAGGAAGCCTAGGAGGATTATTGAGATCAGGAAGATAGAAAGAACTCAACTGTCTTTCCAGGCTAAAAAAACAGAGGGCTTTTAATTCCAGCGGAAAAGAGAGTAGGAAGAAGCAAGTGCGATGCCTTAGTGTTTCACTGAGGGCTGGGAAGAAGTGATCAGGGGCCCTGTGTGTTCTATTATTGCATTTAGGGTCCAGAATAAGTGGGGACCAGTGTAAAGGCTGAACCACAGATGACATTAGAGAGGACTGATCTTAAAGAGAACATTGATTTAAAGGAATTGTGATTGTTAATACAGCGGGGGGGGAGGGGCTACATTCGCTTTTATTTTTATGAGAACCCTCAGTCCACACGTTTTCACACCACATCCCTATCCTGTCATCCTTACATCTTTTCTTCACACCTCAGGCTTCTCTCAAGCAGCCTATCTTGCTGCAACCAAGCACTGACCTTGCAAGTTGTCAAATCAGAAAGAGAAAAAGAGAGGAATATTACCGCAACTTGCCACATTTCAGAATTTCATTTTGATGTGCGGGAAATTTCGTTCACCCAAGAGCCAGTGATTTTTAGCAGGAAGAAACTATGTAAACAGGAGTGGGAAAGGTGCATGGAATTATTAGGTGGTGGTTCTCCATTGCATTGAGTACACCCAATCCAGTTTAGAATTGTCTTTCTCTTCTCCTCCCGTCAGATAACCACATCGGAAAACTTTCCTTCATATCCAGAAAGAAATTAACCTTTCTCTGCTAGGAGACTTTTTTTTTTTTTTCCTATTCTGCTGAAATAGGGCCTAGAAGAGCTATGGGACTCCCTCCTACCAAACCTAACACCCTCCTGACCTCCTGATACCGTCTGCGGTGTCATGTAAGCATCACTTCAAGATGTCAAGAGGACAGTCACCACCCACGGAAATGGACCTCTTAAACACAGGAAATATAAGAAAAATAATAATGTGTCTTATAAGAAGAGAAAATTTTCGGATTCTACCTGACCTAGCTAGTTATCTGACTATTAACTACAGACTCCTCTAATGCTAACACTTGACCTTTGGCCTGTACCTTCGGGGCTGTCAACAGGGGAGCTTTTCTAAGCAGCGAAGGCTCCCTAGGTACAGAGGTGCCATCTTCAGGAACTGAAGAACCTAAGTTGTGATGCAAGAATGTTGCAACTTCTGACAAAACTGGTTTGTGCTCAGGCATAACTCTTCTGTTTGCATTTGAAAAACAAAACTTAAACTGAGAAATATTTAGAACAGGTGGGAAGAAAGAAAATATCATAAAAAACACTCGCATTAATACCACCCTCAGTTACATTGTTTCTATCTAGTTCATCATCTTTGCTTCATCCTTTTTATGTATTCAACATTATGGGTAAACATTTTCTCAACCTTAACCCTCCTGCCAAATTCACTGCCCCTTTTTACTCCCCAAAGACAGCCATGATCACGAAGCCGGGACACATTTTACAGTCCACCTGCTATGATTTTACAGCATGACATGTGTTTTAAAGTCAGTCACCTAAATGATATCCTAGAGGAGGTCTGTTTTGCATCTTAGACATTTACCATTATACCCCGGCCATCTAGATCTACATCTGCTGATCTCTACAGCCCTGATTTCTGCTTGTTGAGCGCTGCATAGCAGGCCCTTGTGTGGATTCACACATTTTATTTATCTGCGTTCAAATCCTTCAGCTTTTTTTGGGGTGGGGGGGGGCACCCTTGTGGGAATGAAGCCAACCGTCAAAGGCAGTTGTTGCTTGTTTAGAAGCTGAGTAAGAGAAACAGCAGAAGTACCTCCAACCCTTATTTCCACCCAAATATTCCAGCAAATATTTGTTGAAGTCTGTGTGTGTCTGGACCTGAGTCGGTGGGAAGCTGGGGACCAGGTGGGGGACAGAATAGCTAGGAAGATAGGGTTTGGTCCCAGCCCTATCTGGTTGTGGTGGGTTATCTGGGCTGCCTGCCTTTGTCTTATTTCTCTTCCCTTTTAACTTCCTAGCTTCCCAGCAGTGCCCTTAGTATGCAGGTTTATTAAAAAGAAAAAGGAAATCTAGGCCACCACTCACCTATATCTTGCTTCTCCCTTCGCGCCTTCCCAGAAGCTCGACTGGGGCTTCCTCCCGGGGAGCAGGGACTAAGAAGGGAACTCCCAGAACCGTGCAGAGAGCAGGGAAAGGCACCTACCGGCTGGCCGGGTGCAGGGCGGCAGTGAGGGCGGGGCGGGGCTGGGCAGGAGCGCAGGGCACCTGCGGCTGCCGAAGGGTCCGAGTGCCGCCCGAGTGCGCAGCTCCGGGGCTGGCACCGGTGGAGAGGATGGGGAGTGAGGTGGGGAGAGGCGCAGGGAGCAGCTGGCCAGCAGATGTCCTGGGTCGGAGCCCTCCCCACACACAGAGCGGTCGCCTGGGGTCCGTGCGCGGACAGCGCTGCGGGCGCGGCTCCGAGCTGGTGGCGGGGCTCCCGCGGCGCCCTGGCACCGTCTGGAGGCGCCGGGATGCAGAGCGCGCCCCAACTTCCAGGACGGCGGCCCAGTTCCCCTGAAGTGACCCTCTTCCTCTCCAAGATATCCGGGCAATGCCACCGAGTTTAGTGGCTACAGGGGGTGGCGGGTATGAGCCTGCGGATCTGAGATGAAGAAAGAGATTGCCTTTCAGACTTCTTTGGGGTATTCCGGGAGATCCGAGAGAGGGCTGAGAATTGTATGGGTCCCCACAAGAAGGATCTCTTAACAATTATGATCCAGCAGACTTCCTCGTTTTACTGCCGGGGAAACTGAGGCACAGAGAAAGACATTACTTGCCCAGTGTAGCATAACAAAGAATGGAGAGAACCTTGTATGGACCCAGGTCTCCTAGGTCCCATCCCCCATTTTCCCATGCATCCTAGTCACCCACATCCTCTGCTGTGGAGGAGAGGGGACAGGGACGGGCTCAGAGATGAAGGCCATCTCACTGGAAGATTCTATGTTCTCTCCCATGGAAGCACCTTGTACTCGCCCTTTGTAATAACCAACACAACTGAAATAACTTCTTACAGTTCTCCCTCTATCTTGAGTCACACACACTTAAGCCACCGGAGAAGGAGCGCCCAGGTTGCTTCCTGAAATGACCGAAGCTGTGTGCCGGTGGGCAGCGCTGGGGGTGCGGTGGGGAGGGCTTCTATTCAGCCCCTGCATTTCCCTGCCATGTTGGAAATAGCAGCTCAGTGTTGCCAAATATCCAGATTTTAGAAGAGAAGCTGGAAATGAGACAGTCCCTGTGAAATCTCCCATCATTTTCCAACACTGGCAAGTTCAGAAAATGTTAGAAACTGTGGTTGCCGGACAAGATGCATCTGTGGTGGAAAAGTCTTCCTCAGGCTCCCGCTTTTTAATTTAGATGCAAAGTCCCACAGAGTGTGGGAGCCAGATGGACTTTTTTCACGTTTTCGGCACCAGATCCTGGACTGGCGTCCGATACATCTCAAATATCTGCAGACGTTGTTGAAGACATCAGTAGTCTCCGTGTGGTCAACAGCCCCATCATTGACTCATGAAATATTTCAGAGCAATTCTCTTGTTATATGATGACCCAGCCCCTTTCCTCCCCTTTCTCTTACCTTAGCCATGGGCTGCATTCTACCTTCGTACTTTACAACTGGAATAACCTTGAACTTCAACGAACTCACCCTCTCATTTTGCATTTGGGATCCAGAAGAAGGGATTTGTGCAAAGCCACACAGGGAGTCCGTGGCAGAGCTCAGTAGAAACTCACCTTATGCTGCCAACTCCTGTCTGAAAGGGGATCAGATGATACAAATAAACATCTAATGTGGAATTTGGGTCAAGTTGCAGAAGAGGGCAAATGCATTGTTATTGTGTAACATCTGGTAGTTTGAAACACACTTGGATTACCTTCACGGGCCTGGGGCTGCTCTGCAAATTGTTGGACCTGTGTCGTCTCACTCCTCCCCTCAGGAGACAATGATACCCATTTTATCACCAAACAGAAATGGCAAGAATGAGGGCTGAGTCTAGAATGGAAGTTTCTGGAATTCTCTTTATTTCAGCGTCCTGGTTAGCACAAAGGGCTTTGGAGTCAGAAGTCTTTTCTACAAATGCCAGCTCCACCACTTGATACCTCTGAGAAGTTGGCCAAGTCACTTAAAGGCCCTGCGCCTCAATATCCCAACTTCAGTAAAGGGGATGATGGTCATTCCTACCAGCTATGATGGGTGGAGGATTGAATGAGATCATGTAAATAATAATATACTTAGCATGGTGCTGGGCAGCACAGAGTCAATACTCAGATACGGTCAATGGTTAAGGTTGTCATTAATTAGCAGCTACGGGGCTCTGCCCTGGTAATGATCAGTTCTCTTCCATATATCTTTCTTCTGTTTGTACAGTCACTTTTACTTAAAATGAAACTATTAATCAGTCCTAATGCATTTATTCATGTAAAGGTTTGGCATCGCATAAGTTTTATGGGAAAATAGTGATTCTTATTACTGTATTATGTGCAGTCTATCAAAGGCAGACCTGTTTCAAGGAGCTGTGTGTATTTTAATCTTCTATTTATTCAGTGGCTCATACTCTCTGGTCAGTGTTCCTATCTTAAACAGAGCTTTTAGAGGAACTCTGAGGAGACCTTCACCAAGATCTGACTTGGGAGACTAACCAGGCTAGATATGTATGACAATCTCTGGAGCCCCCCAGTGGAGAGGAGGGTGAAGTGAAAAGCAAACCAGTGAGAAAGTCTTGTTCAGATAGTGTCCAGAATTTTTTTTAATTAAAAAAAATAAATCATAATGTTGTCTGACCATGAGTCTTCCTTTTCTTTTCTCTGCTTAATCTCTTCACCTTATCACCCAGCTCCTAACCCCCTCCCCTCTGACAGCTGTCAGTCTGTTCTCTGTATCCAAGTGTCTGTCTCCATGTTGTTTATGTGGTGCTTGCCAGAAGGAAGGAGGCATAGGGGGAGATAGAAGAGGGTAAAGAGGGGATAAATGGTGATGGAGGGAGACTTGACTTGGGGCGGTGAGCACATAATACAGTATACAGATTATGTATTGTAGAACTGTATACCTAAAACCCATATTACTTAATTAACCAATGTCACCCCAATACATCCAATTAAAAAGAAAATATTATGAAAAGTAAATTGTTATGCAAAGCATAAATATTTCCATGTTAAATCCAGGAGTAATACATGTGAGGAGGGATATTTGCCAAGAAACATCGTTTCTAATGCAAAATACAAATGCTAAACTGGGGTGGGAGGGATCATGTCTCATAACATTAATGCCACACCATTCAAACCACACTCACTCATGGCTTGAAATTGTCACCTGGGTTCCACGTTTAGAATAAAGTGACACACTACTCCAGCAGACTAGGCCTTCTTCCATCTATTCCCTGCCAATCTGTCCAACTTCATCTACAATCAGTGTTCCTCAGTTCACTCCCCTCCAGCCACACTGGCTCTCTGCTCTTTGCAGATCATGCTGGCCTTGTCGCCCACCCCAGGACATTTGAATGGCTCTTCTGAATGGATGGGCATGGTTTTGGACTCATTATTTAGCTGTCAGCTCACATTTCACCAGCTTTGGAGAGGAATATTTGCCAAGAAACATCGAGACTTTCCTTCAACTCCTTACCTGAAGTTACTTACCCAGCACTTCCTTCATTCTCCACTACACACTCCATTTCTTGCATCTGATCACTCATCATAAACGATAGTCAATTTGCTTAGGTCATGCCTCTTCTGTTTCCTGCCATTGAATTGAGGCCCCGTGAGGGCGGGATTGACTCCACTACATAGCCAGTGCTGCACCAGTGTTTGGAACATAGAGAGTGTTTAATTAGATAGATAAATATTTGCTACTTCCATTGTTCTTTTCCTTTCTTAATCCAGGAGGGAAATACAAAGAGGACCTATCACACTCCAAAGCGGTTACCATTCCGATGACATAAACGAACGTCTATTGGGCTATGTGTAAAGGGGGCACAGAGAAGTAAATGATCATTGAACACTGGGATTTTGCGGTTTGGAGAGTGCTGGCTGCATCGGTTAGCTCTACCCCAAGGGGCCAGTAGACTTAGTAATTGAAGAACCAAGTATACTATGGAGAACAGCTTAAAGTTTAAGCATAACAGCAAGGGGAAGCCCTCAGACGTGGGCAGCAGGAAAATGGGCCTCATTAGAGTTGCGGGTTAGTAAGATCCCTGTGCCCTCCTCACATAGACAGAGCTTATTTTCTCTTGGTCTTACATACAAATTATTTTCAGTTACAAAAAAGATGAGTTCTCTCTTGTAAATAAGAAAATGCTCTTGCCTGGCTGGTGTGGCTCAGTGGATTGAGTGTCATCCATGGACTGAGAGGTCCCCCGTTCGATTCCTGGTCAGAGCACAAGCCTGGTTTACGGGCTCGATCCCCAGTAGGGGGCGTGCAGGAGGCAGCTGATGGATCTTTCTCACATTGATGTTTCTCTCTCTCCCTTCCTCTCTCTCTAAAAAATCAATAAAAACATAGTAAAAAAATAAAATTCTCGCCCTGGCCGGTTTGGCTCAGCGGTTAGAGTGTCGGCCTGCGGTCCCGAGAGACCCGGGTTCGGTTCCTGCTAAGGGCATGTGCCTCGGTTGCAGTTTGTCCCCGGCCCTGGTTGGTCGTGCGGGTGGCAGCCACTCGATGTGTCCCTTTCACATCGATGTTACTCTCTCTCTTCCTCTCTCCCCCTCCCACTCTACCTGAACAAAAAATGGAAAAATGTCCTCAGGTGAGGATAAAAAATAAAAAATAAAATAAAATTCTCCTCAGTTATAAAATAATCAGATCTTAGCACAGTGTTTCATGTTTATTAAGTTTTCAAATATTTGCTGCATTCAAGTCCATGTTCAGTTTTACCTAGTTTGCCCGCCCCTGCCAGGGCAATCACTTAGAAACTGCATGCCCCACCGCCCTGGCGTTTTCCTTTAGGTGTTACCTGTGCAATGAGCCTTCTTTTCTTTTTCAATTTCTTTTTCAAATGTTGTTGTTTAGAGTTTCTAACCTGCCCTTACACATTCTTTTTATTTTTTCTATCCTCACCCAAGGACATTTTTGCATTTATCTTCAGATAGAGCGGGAGGGAGAGAGGGGGGAAGAGAGAGAGAGAGAAACATCGATGTGAGAGAGACACATCGACTGGCTGCCACCCA